AATGACCATTAAGATCTCTGACGTCACTTGCCCCAAGATCTTCCCTCTTTTTGAACTATTTTGGCATTTGGGATCTACCTTAGGAGGTGGAAGGGAGGAAGGGAGAAGCAGATGTGACGCGGTCTTGTTTTTGATCTGCAGCTGTAGCTGAGAGGCTTGGGCTCTGCCGTGAGCACCCTTCTCCGAGTTTGGCTCTCTTCTCCTCTAGGATGACAGTAAGGAGCCCTCCCCTTCCTGGGTGATGTTTCTAGGCACACAGCTGAATTCTTTCCTCATCATCTCTCTTTAGGATATCAAGTAGGTCTCCTCTTATGCCTTGTGACAGAACAGAAGTGGAATTATATGCACGGGCAGTTCCAAGTGCTTCTGTGTCTTGGGTATTTGGTCCTAAATCACCGACTATAATGAATCATCAAATCCAAACAAGGTTGACATCTTTAAAGTGCTTAACACACACTCTAATTATTGTAAAACAAGTCTGTGTGGGTAAGACCAAAGCTCACAAGCTTTATAATCAAGTGTACAAACTGACGGTGGCAGCACTTTTCCAAATAATGAACTTCTCCACTCTGGGTGCTGACGTCTCAGTTCACCAAAGCTCAGTGTGGGGGTTACTTTAACAGCATGGATGCTGTGACCTTGGAAGGGTCCTGGCAACTTGCTGGTCAATGTATCCAAGACCCTTTCTGTGGTTTGAGCTTACCAGGCCCCTTTGCTGCACTGACAACTTGGACCTTTGCTTCCACTTAGATGGTCTCCCCTCCCTGGGCTTCGATGATGCCATGAACAGGGCTGTCTCCATTTTCTCTCACTTCTTCTCCATTTCTGACTCTTTCCTTCTCTTGTTCCCTGGTTGGGAAATCCCCCCGCCCCCATTGGTCCTCAGCCTCTTGTCACTCTTCTCTTTGAACACTTTCCCTTGGCTCTTCCTTCAACTCTCACATCTACACTAGGATTCTATCATCCCTGCCATGAACTCTAGTCTTGCAAATCCAAGGACCCTCTGAACATTTCTGCATATAGGCTCCATCATTTCTTCAAACACAACTATTCAGAAATAAACTGCATCACTCCTCTCCTTAGAACCTTCAATGGCTCCCCATTTCCTTCCTTCCTTCCTTCCTTCCTTCCTTCCTTCCTTCCTTCCTTCCTTCCTTCCTTCCTTCCTCCCTTCCTTTCTCCTTTCTGTCTCTCTCTCTCCCTCCCTCCCTCCCTCTTTCCTTCTTTCACTGAAGTTAGTTGACATACAATATTACATTAGTTCCACGTGCACAACGTAGTGATCTGACAGTCAAGTATATTATGAAATGATCACCACAACAAGTCCAGTAATCATCTGTCATCATACAAAGTTATCACGGTATTATTGACTATATTCACTATGCAGTACATTACACCCCCATAACTTATTTATTTTATAACTGGAAGTCTGTATCTCTTAATTCTCTTCATCACCCAACTCCCCCAGTCCCCTCCCCTCTGGCAACCACCAGTTTGTTCCTATGTCTGTGGCTCTGTTTCTGTTTTGTTTGTTCGTTTGTTGTTTTTCTTTTTCCCTGATTCCACATGAAAGTGAGATCATACGGTATTTGTCTTACTCTGTCAGACTTATTTCACTTAGCATAATATACTCTAAATCTATCTGATGGTCAAAAACGGCACATTTTCATTCTTTGAATAATTTTCCAATATGTATATAGATATATATATATTTATACACACATTCATTTCACATCTTCTTTATCCACTCATCTATTGAGGGGGCATTTAGGTTGCTTCCATATCTTGGATATTAAAGTTAATGCTTCAATGAGCATAGGGGTGCATATATTTTTTCAAATTAGTGTTTTTGTTTTCTTTGGGTAGATACCTGGAAGTGGAGTTGCTGGATCTGGTGGTAGTTCTGTTTTTAACTGTGAGGACTCTCCATACTGTTTTCAACAGTGGCCACACCAATTTACATTCCCACCATCAGTGCAAGCGGGTTCCCTTTTACCCACATGCTCACTGACACTTATTTGTTGTCTTTCTGATGACGGCCATCCTGACAGGGGTGAGGTGATACCTCACTGTGGTTTTGATTTGCATTTCCCTCATGATTAGTGATGCTGAGCATCTTTTTATGTGCTTGCTGGCCATCTGTATGTCTTCTTTGGAGAAATGTCTATTCAGGTCTTCAACCTGCTTTTAAATTAGAGTTGTTGTTTGTATTTTTTTAGAAATCATTTGGTTCAATTTTATTTTCATACGCGAGGAAACAGAAGCTCAAAGACATTAATTGATTTCTCCCAAAACACACGCTACTTTTACTCTTCTTTGGTTCAAATCAGTACATTATCATTTACAAGTAATATTGACTTTTTTTTGATATTGACTTGTGTGATTTCTTTATTTAATTTGGATATTAACCTCTTATCAGATACATGATTTACAATAATTTCTCCCATTCAGTACATTGCCTTTTCTTTTTTAAAAAACATATTTTATTTATTTATTTATTATTGCATTCTTTAATTATTTTTGGAAAGGGAGAAGGAATTAGATTTATTTACTTTTTAATGGAGGTACTGGGGATTGAACCCAGGACCTCATGGATGCTAAGCACGCACTCTGCCACTGAGGTCTACCCTCCCCTTGGTTGCCTTTTCATTTTACTGATAGTTTCCTTTGCTGTGCAAAACTTTCTAGTTTGATGTAGTCCCATTTGTTTATTTTTGCTTTTGTTCCCCTTGCCTGAGGAGACGTACCCCAGACAAATATTGTTAAGACTGAGTCAAAGAGCATACTGCCTATGTTTTCTTCTAGTTTTATGGTTTCAGATCTTACATTTTTTAAACTGAAGTATATTTGATTTTCAACTTCCTCCAGTTCCTCTAATGCAGAACTTCCCAGCTTACTGAGGTGGATGGGTTAGAGGGGCCCAGGGTACTAATGCTCTGCGTCCTCAGTACAGTTGGCCAAGGCAGCCCAGCCGCTTTTCCCCAATGAGCCATTAAAAAATATTATCATTTTCTGCATAAGCTGTTGCTTGAAAAATGGAAAGTGTGGCTGAATGCAATGTGCTGTCTCATTTCTGACCTTCATACTTGCCCTGGCTCTCCTGGGGACAATCCCCTCCTTCCCCCTTACTTTAGCTTCAGCTTTCAGCAGCATCATCACCTCCTCCAGGGAGCCTTCCTTGACTTCCGCTAAGTCTGGGTAGGTCTTCTGCCGCATGTTCCTACAGCAGTTGGGGCGTCCCCCATCACAAACGCATCATCCACTTGGCTGGTGTGCACTCTCCACTAGGCTGTAGGTTTGCCTTGCTTGCTCTGTGGCACATGGGAAGGGCTCAGTAAATACTTGTTAAAGGAAGGGGACTAATTCATCCTTAATGTGCAAAAGAGTGCTTTCTCCTGCTGTGTTACTGTGAATGGTAAAGTCTTCCTCTTAAGTTCTTATGCCTCCCAAATTTGGGTGTCATTCTCCCATTTCATCTATTGAAAAGATTGCTGATTTTTAAAAAATTGTTCCTAGGAAGATAATTCTTACGCCAATTTCTTCTTTTACACTTCCCTTATAGGCACCTAAACTCGGTTCTTTGTTACTGCTGGCCTGGGCTATTATAATAACCTCACTGGTTCTGCCTCCAGCTTTATCTTCATTTTGCTGAAACAGATAAATGTTTGCCAAAACATTTCCCTCCAGGGCAGGCTAAGCTTTGTCACCGAGGACCTCTACCATATGGTCACAACCTCCCCATACAGTTCTATTTTTCACCACTTACCTTTACATCTTTCCCTCTAGGTCCCCTAGTCTTACTCAACCATGTCCTGGGCTTCCCTGCCCTGATCTGTGTGCATCTGATTCTTCCACCTCCAGTGTCTGCTTTTCTCCTCTCTTATTCTTATAGAAGCCTCCCCATCCCAGCACAAACCTATCCCTGTGAACTGCTAATCCTGTCAGTGCTCTCTCTCCCCAAAATCTCAACCTCTCACATATCATCTCCTATCTAGTATTATTATTATTCCATGTTCATTCCATTCAACACATGTCTGTTGAGTGTCTACTGTGTACCATGTGCCAAGAGCTGAAGAGGCAAAGATGAATTAGACCATTTCCCTGCCTTGCAGGAACTCAAATACAGAGAGAGATAAGCATAGAGGTTGTGCAAGGCCATGCTCAAGGTGAAATGAAAGCTCAGAGAGGAGGAGAGATGACTTGTCCAAGGAAGTTAGGGAAGGAGGCACTTGATTAACTCAAGCAGCATGGTATGATGGAAAGAACAAAGATCTGTGTTGGAATCCTGGCTTCACAACACATTAACCCCTACTCTCTATGCCTCCGTTTGGCCATCTGCAAAATGGGAATTGTATCATGTACCTTGAAGAGTTATGGTGAGAAGTGAATGAGATCATGTTTATGAGCTCCTTCTGACTGTAGCCCTGGTCCGACCTTCCATTCCTCATAGTGCCCTGTACCCACTGTGATCCCGGTGAATATCTGCTCTGTTGTTGATTGACATTATTATGGATACAGATGCTGCCCATCATATCAGGAAACAGGGCCACTGGGAACCAGGCTGCTTTAATTGTTCTAGAACCATCTATTCCTCTTTCTGAGAACCATGAATTTGGGATTTGACCTAGCAAATGGGCAAGAGTTATGCTTTTCCATCTCCAGAAGAAGAGCCAAAGGCTTGTCAAAGAGTCAGGGCTGTCAAGCCAGGGAGCAAAGAAGCCATCATGTCCCTGGACCCACCACGCCCCACTAATGAAGGCCAGGGCGTTCATGAGTCCAGCTCTTTGAAGCCACCCCATGAAGCTCTTACTTCACTGAAGCACAGCATGGAAGAGGAGTTCTGACTTAGCAAGAAGCCCAAGTAAAGTCTTTTATGAGATGAGGGACTCTTCTGAGGAAGCAACAAACCAAGGGGAAGGGCTTTTGACAATCAAATGAGTAAGAAAAAAAGGGCTGTCTTCCACATCCACACCCTCTGCAGAATGGATATAAATGCTCCCCAGAGGAAGGAGACCCACAGCTCTGTGTCTTGGAGAACTTTGACTCTGTCTTCAGTCAGGTGCCCTGCTCTGTCTAGCACCATGCCTTACAGCTGCTGCCTGCCCAACCTGAGCTGCCGCTCCAGCTGCTCCTCCCGGCCCTGCGTGCCCCCCAGCTGTCACGGCTGCACCCTGCCCGGGGCCTGCAACATCCCCGCCAATGTGAGCAGCTGCAACTGGTTCTGCGAGGGCTCCTTCAATGGCAACGAGAAGGAGACCATGCAGTTCCTGAACGACCGCCTGGCCAGCTACCTGGAGAAGGTGCGGCAGCTGGAGCGGGACAACGCGGAGCTGGAGAGCCGCATCCGGGAGCGGTCCCAGCAGCAGGAGCCCCTGGTGTGCCCCAACTACCAGTCCTACTTCCGGACCATCGAGGAGCTCCAGCAGAAGGTGAGGGGCTGGGCACCCCGCTGCCTCCAGCAGGAAGGTGTTGGGAGGGACTTCGAGATAGAAATTGAGAAACCCTCTGAGCTCCGGGTGTGACTGAAATGCATGGGTCGAAGTCTTGCTTTTCCATTCTGTTTTCTTGAGGGCCTGTCTTATTCCAGGTCCAGGACAGTTAGGGCTGAATATTTGCTTAGTCCCAGTCTGTGTGGATGTAGCAGCACTTTGCACGAATAAGCTGTAATTAGAAGCTGCCTCTGAATGCTTCGGTGCCTTTGCCAAGACTCTGGAACTAGTACCCTGGGGTGAGAGAAAAGGCAGCCCAGGAAGGAAGCTGAGGAAGTGGAACTTATTGAGAACTGGACCGACTCCTCTCTCCCGCATCTCGGCTTTTGACTGCTCTGACCTCTTATTGCCGTCCTCCCCCGGGTACTTCATTACCCTGACTTCACTGTCTTAACCTAGAAGTCTCTGGGCTTCTCCTGGTGTACAGTGTCCAGTGAGGGTGCAAAACAGTTTGACTAAGATCAGAGAGACTGGAAACTACCTAGGAGATGTACCGCCAAGCCTCCCAGGATGGGCGGGAGAGCATGGCTCTCTCCTCTGTTCAGCCCCTTCCAACTGCTAGTTTACATAAATACGTAAATAAGTAAACACATATTTATTTACATAAATATGTAAACCTTCCCCACTGAATTGGAAGTTTCTCGAGGGCAGGATCTAGTGCTTACTCACTTTTGTGTCCTTAGCTCCTGCAACCATGCCAGACATAGGAGGTTTTTAAAGAGAAATATTTGCTATTATCATCAGCCTCTCAGTATTGCGTATTAGGAAGGAAAAGGAAAAATTATGTATCTACAGATACTTTTCTTGCATATGTCAGTGTTCATTTTTTTCCTCCGGCAAGTTTGATTTCTGAAATATCTATCTAGCAATATTGCACGAGGACTGCATTTAATAATCCTATACAAGATCCTTGGTGACTTCTCATTCTGTTCCTTCCTTTTCAGTGAAATAGTAGGGATTTCTGTCGGCTAAAAATAACCAAGCTCATTCTAGAACATTATGGGTCTTCTAGATCCTGTGTGGCAAGTCTGAGAACGCCAGGCTGGTGGTGCAGATTGACAATGCCAAGCTGGCCTCTGATGACTTCAGAACCAAGTGAGTGGGCAAAGAGGGGTGTTGGCTTCCCTCTCTCCTCTCCTTCCCTTGAGCCTGTCCTTTGTACCAACACGTTAACAAAGTTTTCCCTAGATTTTTCCCCAAGAGCCACAGAGCCATTGCGAGCCAGAGTTCAGAGAACCCTTCTCCAGAGTCAGACTCCTTGCCCACTTTTCTGTAGAGGACATCTTCCAATCCCATCCGATATAGAAGTCATGGTCCCCTGATGCTCCACTCTGCACAGAATCCAATCAGGAGAATGGGAAAAGTGTACTAATTTTGGAAATCTCACAGTTTATGGGCTTCTATCCCATTAAACCCCTTGTGTCTTCATTTATTAAAAAAATAATTATAGGTGCCTTTTCCTCCAGAAGCTGCGGCTCCGTGTTGGAAACCTAAATGAGCAAGGTGGCTGTGAAAATCACAAGCCCCAACTCCCAGTGGCCTGGCGGAGCAAACCAAATCAGAGCCAAGGCCAGGCCTGCCTCTGATGCCCCTGGTCCCCTGTATCACAGGTACGAGACGGAGGTGTCCTTGCGGCAGCTGGTGGAGGCGGACCTGAACGGCCTGCGCAGGATCCTGGACGAGCTGACCCTGTGCAAGTCCGACCTGGAGGCTCAGGTGGAGTCCCTGAAGGAGGAGCTGCTCTGCCTCAAGCAGAACCACGAGCAGGTGAAGTTCCCCAAAGAACCACAGGATCGAACTTGCCACGGCCTGTCTACAGCTGCCACGGGGTGCGGGAGAGGCCCCATTCCCCGAGGAATCTATTCTCCAAACAAAAAAGAGATTTGTAGAGAATGAGCAATCTAAAAATTCACGACAGGAAGTGAGAGTGTTTTGCTGGCGGCAGGAATAGGAGCAGAGGAAGTTGGAAAGCCTGGTAATGAGGCAAGGTCCACAGCGAGGCGGTTCCCAGCTTCTTCCGCTCCCAGGCCGCAGCGCACGGAGCTGCGCGGATCTTTTACCACAGTTCTCTCTTTAGTAACTGGAGACACTGGTAGGGCCACACTGTAGAGACTCTTCTTTCTCCTCCAGAGCTCTTTCTGCTACTCCGTGTTGCCTGGAGGAGACACTGAAAATTGCTCACGTCATTGCTTGATTAGTTGCACGATAAAGAAGACAGATTTTTTATGCACATCTTAAATCCCAGAACAGCGTAGATGGTGAGAATGAATACTATCTGAGTGTTCATTGTGTGCCAAACATTGTGTTCTGGGGTTTAGAACTCCAGAGGTTGTTCTCATTTTATAGATTAAGAACTTGATGCTTCTAGAAGCTTCTGGAAGCTTTCTAGTAAGTATAGGCATGAGACCCAGTTCAGATCTGTCTGACACCCACCTACACCCAAGCACTAAGCTCTGCTGGCTCTGTGAGGACAGACTAGCTGTGAAATGAGCAGACAGTTATTTCCTTCAGCAAAAGCTAAACTAGTGGAATCAAGAAATCATCTCAGGATGGCAGATTTGGAAGTAAGCATTCTTTGCTTCCTCTTTAGTTGAACTCTATCCTTTTTATTACCCATGGTTAAGAGTCAAACCCTAGGCTAGATGATGTACTAACAAGACCGGACTGGGTGTTTGGGCCACAGAGTTTAAATCCTGGTCTGCCGCATCTCAGCACTGAGTCCAAATCCCTGCACCTCTCTAAGGAGTTCAAGGGTGGAGCGAGGTCATGGACTTGAAAGCACTCAGTAAAGCAGAATATACTGGTTAGTCACTGAATACAGAACCCAGTTAATGAGAAGATCAGAAGGAATGGAGCTTTTGAAAGCTTAAGAATGATCACAAGTTGAATTGCACTCTCTTAGAGGAGACCAACAGGATCCTTTGTGATGCTTTGAATTGTCCCCTTCCTCCATCAGGAAGTCAACACCCTGCGTTGCCAACTTGGAGACCGCCTCAATGTGGAGGTGGACGCTGCTCCCACCGTGGACCTGAACCGCGTGCTCAATGAGACCAGGAGTCAGTATGAGGCCCTGGTGGAGACCAACCGTAGGGACGTGGAGGAATGGTTCGCCAGGCAGGTGGGCATCTCAGCTTGTGGACATTCAGTGCTCTTGGCCCCTCGGGGCCCTTCAGGCGGGGTCTGATCCTGGCTTCTCCCCTTTGGTGTTTCAGACAGAGGAGCTAAACAAGCAGGTGGTGTCCAGCTCGGAGCAGCTGCAGTCCAACCAGGCAGAGATCATCGAGCTGAGACGCACGGTCAACGCCCTGGAGGTGGAGCTGCAGGCCCAGCACAACCTGGTGGGTATTGTTCAGCCTCCTGGTGAGAAGGGGAGGTTGGGGGATCGAA